GTCTGTCAAAGCTAAACACACCTCCGGCCGTCTACCGGCCATCTGATTTTGGCAGCCATGTTGTTCGACGGCTTGTCTGCCGACCGAAGACCAAGCTCCTCTCTGTCTGGCATTAACATTTTAGTTGTAAGCTGAGGACGCGCTTGAGGGCAACTTTTGGCGCTTCATTATCTTCTACAGTACCATGGTTCAGGCCGTAAAGGAGGGCCGTAAAGGAGACGTTTGCTGTCAAGATGGTTCATTGACCATCCTTCCCACTCCCTACCCCCATTTAGGTTATTAATGGAATTTCTATCTGTGCAGATGTGACCCACTTCTGTCATGACTTCTAGACGACCGATTTTCTGCGGGAGGTCGAAGTCAGGCTGACGTACGGTGGGATTAGCTGTTTGTTTCGAATGGATGTGTTGTATAACGTTTGCCAACTGTCGTCGGCGCCAGGTAAGTTTTTGTTCCTAGAAACAGTACAGGACGTCATTCCGGTTTCAACCGCAAATATTGAGCGCCTCATTGAGATAACTGGACAGTGATTTTAACGGGTTCTCCTGCAGTTTCTCGGTGTCTCAGAAGGTCAGACGATGCATGTGCAGTAATGCAGCAAAATACGATATTGCAGTGAATTTCACAGCTCCCTCAATCATCCACTTTACTCAATTCTGCTCGATGTCAGTTTGATTAGACTAAGCCACGAAAGGTGGCCTCAGAAGAGGCAAGTTTGCTGCCACCTTACCTGGGTGTTTCTGAAGGCAACAGTTCGGTTAAGAGTGATACAAACATATTTTGGATTACGTTTGTACTCCACATGATACGCACAAAATGGTAAGGTAAGAGAGCTGATCGCTTTCTGTTTTCGAGATGGAACATCGAAACAGTACCCTTATTGGTATTCGGTCATAGTTGTCATGCCGTGCGTAAGCAATCCTCTATGGTAGCGAGGTGACAGTTCAGTGTTTCTACCGCCGTTTCTATTGAAAACTCAGGGTTGAAAAGTGTTATGTGATTAGCATAGACGAATTTCCTGAACGTTATTTCAGGCATATTACCCGTGTACATGTTGAACAGAGAAAGTCTAAGGATTGATCCACGCGGCCGCCTTTAATTGAGAATTCGAGGAATGCTAAACCGGTTGCCCCAGAAGAGTCCTAATTTTCAGTTGTTAAGAACCGATCAGAGGTTACTCAAAATGGCCTGGCATTGCATTATTTGGATGCACTGGTTTACGGGCTAAACGTCAGCACCAGCGAAGTCGTCTTCGATTCCAAACCTATCACCTTAGTCTTACGCCAAGTCAGATTTGACCAGATCGTTTTGTCTGTCGGCATGCTCATGCTGATAGCCGAATCTTAATGCTAAGCCATAAGCTTTTTGGAAAATGGAGCTATTGAAATGGATCTTCCTATAAAAAGGTTTCGCCTGGTTGACAATGAGAACGATCAATTACCATGAGCTGCGCATGTGTAATTTCGTCCTACTCAATTACCTCTGTCGAAATCGAAAATTGTGCTAAAATGTGGATGACCGTTTGATCATCATCTTCTGCATAGTCGTGGACTGCTGACATCTAAACCGCCAAGAATAATGCATTTCGCACCTATAGTGTCCTACAAACCGAATTTTCTGCACTTAAGTGCCGTTTTCATTTACGTTTTGGAGCTTACCGTTTGTGCTGATTATCACACTTGACTGTCAGCTAACAGATGGGTGACGGTAAGGTTAAACCACAAGAGGCACTCGCGTCGGACAGCACGATCGTAAACCTCACCCGTTCTCATATGACCACACCGGAATATGAACTTGTCCATGATGATTGTAAGTCGTCCACCTACTGGTCGTTTCTCGACTGGTCGCACCGAAATAACGATGGGCAGATTCTTTGCTCAAAGGAATTAACGGTTATTACAGTAATCGTTCCTTCTTTGTGTTCACGTTAGGAGATCAGTGCAGACTTCATTGCCGTTGTGCCGCCACATTCTGATGTATATAGCCTACGGTCAACACGACTTCAGTGTATTTATATTTAACGAGCAAAATATGACATCCGTCATTCTCTTGCGAACTACTTTATCATTTTATTTCATATCCATTTTCCGTTTATTCGCGGGTCTGAAACCTCCAGTTTCCTCCCAGGTCAGCTCAAGTGCACTGTTGCTATTCCATTTATGCCGTTTGAGTGCTGCCGTTAGTTAGTTATGTTATATTTTGGTTCAGCCAAATCAAGAAATCAAGTAACCTTCATTTTCCGTAAGAGTTGACCTGGTATCGTTTTTCAGCTGGTTTGCGTGGTACATGTGGTATGGTGCTTATGGTGCTTCCTTTAGGAAATTAGATCAAAACTGTCTTGTTGGCGGAGTTCCACTGACATCAATCTAACATATCCTGCATTAACCATGCGTGCCAATCCAACAGTGAAACATTCGTTCAGTAGTAAAGCATTGATTCAGTCATTTGTTCACTCGTTTGTTCATTCATTCGCGAAGGCCAATTTATTGGTCAGTTTCCAACATTGACGATTTTCGAGAAAAACCCGGTGTTTGCGGCATATAATGTAATATCGGAATTCTTCATCAAATTCTGTTTCAGCCACATTTTTTCTGTCGTCCTTTGGTATTCGCCATGTCTTCTTCAGCAGAGATTCAATTTGTCTTTACATTTTCTAGTCATTTCTAATGTTTCTCTGGTGATCTGGTGACATAGTAGCTAAGAAGTCAGCTTTTAAATCGAGAAGTTCTCGGTCTGAATCTGCTCTTGGGTACGGGCAATCCTTGTCTTACTCCAATGGACGAGATATAATGCCATACTGTTCAATGCGAGTGCCTCTTGTGGCTGCATTTCGCCTTCACCCACCTGATAAACGAATGCCCAATGTGATAGTCAACAAAAGCTGAAAAACCCTTATTTTGATTTCATCTTCAAACGGTTTTCTGTTAGGTTATTCGAAATCATTGTCCTCCTTGTCATCTTTCTCTTAAATTATTCTTCGCTTTCCTCCAGGTCCGATCTTGCAGCTTCAGACATCTTTTCTACATTCCGCGTTTTAATTATACGGAGCA